ATCAAATGGATCTTTCTAACACACAACCACAATTAACAACACATTAACAACTGAAATACCACATGATTAAATTGAAATGTTATACTCCATACGCACAAATGTTGAAGACATCAGTAAACTAGTGTTTTGGGGCACAATCATGCCATATCTTTACAAGTAATTGAATTGTCCCTAATAATTTCTTTATTTACAAAATCATTTTTCCACAGCTCTCGAATGTGATCTCTGTTGATCTGTGTAACAGCGTACCTCAGTTAACACCCCACGTCGAAGCTCTTCGGTTCATCTTTGTTTTGATGGAATGTCCTGTCTTCAGTAACCCTCACCGCCCCTGGGGGCGCCGTGCCCTGGCCGCTGCAGAAAGCCTGATGGGGTTCCTTCACCAGTCATCGCAGGCCGGAGACAACAAGTCGAACTCGGCAACACCTGGTAAACAGTCATATGAGATTTGTATTATGTATACATGGACTTGCAGAAGAACAGCTATTGGCTGAAGCAAGTGATCCGTGTTGAAATAAAATTAAATTAAATGAAATTAGACACAGTCAACTTCGGGAAAACTGAGCATTAGGCATCGGGGAAAAAAATGCAAAGTCTACCTTTGTTACTGCATTGGGCGAATTATCTTGAAAATCCATAAATGATTGGTCATTTTAAAAATTGTTTCGAAATGGCAAAAAACGTATAAAATAATTATTATCAAAAACAAGATTTTACAAATTGACTTTGGAGGAGATTAAAAAATATTTTAGTGCGTACTGCCTCTCATGATGAGAGAACTATGTCCACTATGGGGTATTCGCTGTTTTCCAAGTATTTGCCTGTACTCCGGGTTTCTCCAAAGTTGATAAATACCTCTGAAAACAATTTCCTTATGTGATGTTTAGCAAAAATTCAAAGTTGTGAAGCCAGTTTGTATGACATGAGTTGCGGCAGCAATTTCAATATAAAAAAACTATTGGAAGCCTTGATTTTAACCCTGCAATGCACCAAACACCATATCTAACTTTTATTCTATATCCACTTGCTTCATCTTAGCTCGATGGTGGAAGTTCGAACCGATGTCATTTCGACGAACAATCACGGCTTACCGACTGTCCCTGACAATTCTAATCAATGACAGAGCACTGTTGGATAAAGAACTGGACAACTTTCAGACTTACCTGAGAGTTCTCAGCTCCTTGAATCAGGTGAGATAGTTAATAGTATTTGAACCAGTCATGTGATTTTGTCACGGTTGTACTAAACTTGCTTCTGCGAGAATTGCTCTGAGTCAATTTCCTACACTCACCAAATTCCGAAATTTAACCCTGGATCCTACACTATATCTTACAACAATGCTAACCCTACATCTACCCTAACGCCGAATTACAACCCTAACCCTATACCTCTGACGCAATATAAAGCGCAGAACAATTATCGTAGGAGCAAATGTCGGGTCACTGTTAGAACATTTATCGGAATGCTCTCACCTCACTTGCGGGCAATGGTAACCTTACGGGTCGTTTGATTGATTCGCGTCAGCAAAGAAAAGGGAAAAGAAGAAGAAGAAACAATCAAAATAAAACACAAGGATACATTATAACCACTTGTATACTGGTTTACACCCACATTCAACCGCCCTATCACATCCATACCCACCCACCCACACATCCAAACACTCACCCACCAACCCACGCTCACGCACTCACCGGCAGCGTCTCATATTTAGCGTGACAAACTAGTTTAATCCTATTCTAATTGACTTTTTAAAAGGAAGATTTCACCGAGAATAAGGGCTCAAATTACCCTCTTCCCCCTTCTTCTCTACGCATATCCCCCAGACAAGTTCCGAGCTAAAATGTTACACTGTACTTGGAAGAAAAAAAATCATGGATTCGCGATATGTAACTCACTACCGCCAACACCATCACCCTTCCCGTGAGGATAATTTTCAACACGGTTTAGGTGTCTGTAATGAAACATATTCACTTTGATCATTGGTAATTTTTTAAAGAGAGTAATATGTCTTATCGATAATTTTGTGCATTCAGAAAGAGACCATGCATAATCTTTGTGTTATCCTTCATATTTTTTCTATACTAGGTTAATCTCCAGCACGACATTCTTTCGATTAAGACGTTCTACGTCAAAAATTTAGACATAGTCAGTTTTCAGCCACTGTTGTCAGAGTTGTTTGGAATGAACTGTGTACCTCCACCTCGAGTAAGTGATACAGGTCTTACCGTTCATTTTAATGGAGAGAAGGGGTGTACTTGTTTTGCCAAAGAATCGAAGGTTCTTACAAAAATTGCCATACAAGGGAGTTCACACTTCCGAAATGGATGATCTAGGGTTTCATTATATATGCTGAATTGTTAATAATCTGCATAATGTGCCCAATTAGTTATTATCATTTGTTGTTATAGTTACAAACTTTCTTTATATTTAATTGTTGCAGTATCGAACATGAAAAATTGAACTTTCGGATAACCGAACGTCTGAAAATAAATGAAAAAGCGCCATGTATCACATCGAAACACCTTTGCAAACATAATTGACATCACTATAGAACTGTCGTACTCTAGTACTCTAGTATGATAGCAAGGATAAAAGGCAGATCTCGAGGTGATAACGAGACTTTTTTGTTGGTATTTATATTGATTCATTAAACCTCATCGTCATATCACCAATATCTTACTTGAATAAAACATCAACACATATTTGATTTAATTTAATATCATCCAATAAGAACAGAGTCTCTCCATTGTGATGCCTTTGTTTTTTTTTTTCATTTTGTTTTTGTTTTAACGTGTAATTTATTATTCTCAAATTTGCAATGTTTATGAATTTCTTTACTACATTCGACACGGTCCCATCGTAAACACATCTTCCCACAATGTTGGCTTTTTACGTGCATGAATAAATTCGTTATCATCACTCTCGTGTCACTATAAACAAGAACAACGATCGTGTACTTTTTCTTGATGGTTATAGCCTTTGCGGAAATTCTCCTGGACGTCGTATCCATTCCTCATTGATTTAGAGTTGAAAACAGTAATGTTTAAACACCAGAACATTGATGAACAAGAGGTAAGTTTAATTTTATTTCTTGTGAGAAGTTGGGTCAACAGTTCTGTAAAACATTGCTAATTGACCGTGTAGGCCTACAAAATGCCAAATCATTTTGTTCCCAAATTTATCTAAATTTCTTAGTCTCTGAATTTTGAAAATTCTGCATTTTGTAATGGTTCATCCTTTAATCAGTTCTTAATTACATCTGTATTCTATGCAAGAATATTTTTGAATTTGTCATAATCGAATTGCAAGGTTCGAGGCGTGTGGTTTAGTCAAAAATCTCTTCGGACTTTGAATCACATGGTTCGGGGTTGGATCCTCTGGGGCGGAATGACGTCGGTTGTCAATTCAATGATCTTCATTACCACTCTCTACCCAGTAGATAATAGATACCTATGAGGGTTGACGAAAGCTAATGTGACTACTTTCGCCATTGTCCTAAATATATGTGCGTAAATCGTGCAAAATGGTAGAAAAACTACCAAATGAATGGAAATGGTGCACTCCGTTTGCGGGCTTGAAACACATTGATCAAGAGTAATGATAATGCCATTGTAATGCGCATTGAAGTATTAACGTGATGCTGGATACTAGTGTAATATATTGTCATATTCTTAAGATTATTGCAGCAATTTTTAGGTAATATTCTGTAATTTCAAAGTTTTTATTTTTTTCAACAATTCTTTATTTCAAGGATGCCATGGAGCAAGAAAGGAACCTAGACCCAACGTTTGACATACTTCCTTTCTTCGGGTTTCCACCACGTGTGTCTCTTCACCTTGAAGTAAACCGGGAGGACGTCTTCGGGAGCAGTGTCCGAAAGCAGTTAGCCGAGATGCTGTGTCTCCCGAGGTATATGCTTCAGAAACCTCTTAAGGTCCACTTTATGGATGAAATGGGCATTGACGAGGGGGCTCTGAGTATGGTAAGTGGAAACCTTGTAATAGCCATCGTTTGAATACACCTTGATAGAGAGAGAGAGAGGGATAGAGAGAGAGAATATTTATAAATGTTTAGAAGGACAAAGTACTGCACCAAGCAAGGATCGAACCCGTGATCTCACTTTTGAGAGACAAGAGCCTTCACTATGATAAAAAAATACCAAAGGGTTCCAACATTGATATGTATGTCTTCTTATTTTATTCAAAACAGGATTTTTTCCGGCTTGTCTTTGAGGAACTTCTCGATCCGGAAACGAACGATCTTTTCCGATATGTCAACGAACTCGACAAGACTCACTCGCCTGTCTGGTTTCGAAAGGTACATGAATCTTTTTGGTATTTCAATTGTGATCAGACCCTTTTTTTTAAGACAATTTACTGGCGAATTTGAGTACATCTTCAAACTCGGGAATTATTCAGAGATTGACTTTCACATTAGCCATTGTTTATGTTGTATATTGATACAAATTTGAGTTTTAGATAAAAACAAAGTTTCACCTCTTTTGTCGGGTAAAATATGTTCCAAACATACTTTATTTCTCGTTTAAAAGATTTTGCATGAAGGTATTGCTTTCTTCGGAATTTCGAATAACAAGTATCAATTGAACGCCACTCAAAGGAAGTTCTCAATATGATTCACTGAGTGGTTGTAAAATAAGTTTGCGTTTGATTCTTTTGGGTTGACATGCAATATAGCTGTGTTTAACCCAATTAAGAAAAACTCTAGCTATTCGATATGTATTTGTCTTTTTATCATGAATATTCAAGATTTTGGCTGGTGTATTTTTGGAGGACTCATAGTGCTTTTGTATTGTAGTTATGTTTCTTCATTTATATTTTAGAAAATGCAATGAATTAACAAAACTCACTTTGCTTTGTATAACAAAAAAAGAGATATGCCTGTGCAATACGTATTCATTTTCATGAACAAAACCAAAACCACTCTTTCTGATAACCTTTGTAAAAAAAAAAACAGGACTGTGAGGACTCAGAACTGGCCGAGATATGTGGTCTTCTGTTTGGGTTTTCATTGTACAACAAGGCAATAGTTCCATTACCGTTTCCACAACTCCTCTACGCCAAGCTTCTAGGAAAGGGGTATGTTGCTCTTATAACACCACCACCAACAACAACAACATCGTTACCATAAAGAACAACATATGTGAAAAACGAGAAAGCCCTTTCCCTGTGTTTCCCTTCTCGACGTGATTGAACACTTAAGGGTCATATCCTCACGTGTTACAACAACAACTACAAAACCACCACCTACAGCATCAATAATGACAACAACTGGTAACATAACAAATTATATTTAGAATCTGAAGAAGAAAATAATGTAATCATTGTAGTGACACTCAGACTTAGCTAAAGACCTAATTCCCTTTTTGTTGTATCTATACAGAGCATCGTTACATTGAAGAAATATCCGGATAAATAAGAGAAATAAATAATGATTTGCTAAACTAGTAGTATTTCAGAATATCAAGGGTAAATAGTCTAAATGATGCCGCCTTGTGTTTTTTATAAGCTTAACAAAAACCACACACGCCCATATGCAATATAGTTGACCGTGATTCTATCTCTACAACTAATTGACTTCATCCTTTATAGAGGAATACGATTAAGTAATGTCTGCGGTGTCTAGAGTCAGAAACCCTCTAACACTGGTGGCAGCGTTGGGATATAATTTCAGATACGTATATATAGAATCATTGTTTTATTAGTTTCTTTATGTATTTATTCACCTTCAGCTTTCACCTACATTTTTAATTATTTCCTTTTTATTTATTGTTTTCTTGTTATTTTCAATCATAGACTCACACGTTTATTCAGTTATTCATGTCTCTTTAAGACAATGCTATGTTAAAATAAAATAAACTTATTTTGATTTCACGTTGATTATCAGCCCTAACAGTGATATGGAGGAAGCAGCAGAGCTCGACAAGGAGTTCACAGATCAGATGTCCAAATTACGTACTGGAACAGAAGATGACGTGATTGGGAGTTGCTATGGCGATGAGGTTAAACTGGAGGATGGGAGGAGCGTAGAGGTTACGACAGAAAATGTGTAAGGAAAACAGGCTCAACAATGTCCGAAGGCGGCTTGATCAAAAGCTGGGCATATAGTAAATATAGCAGATTTGTCAAAGGTTCTTGGACGATTACCCACTGGGCGATCACCCTTCTGCAAATTACCAGCGGGACAACTACCCCCCAAGGACAATTACCCCCAGACAAATTAATCCACATAAAATTGACCTCCATTGGGTCAATCAATCCCCCCCCCTCCCGAGGGCAATTACCCCCAGAAAATTACCCTACATAATTTCTTACCACAGTATGTGCAGCCGACTTCATGCTTCTTTTGCATGCCCTTTCGTTAATTATCATTTCACTAATGCTTTCTGATATTCTCAATCTTCCAACTGTTATTTTAACTTCTTTGTGCTAAAGTGATCTCTACGTGGACAACATGGTTCGAGAGTACCTGGTTCCGTCACAGTTTGCAGCCTTCCAGCAAGGATTCAACAGAGTCTTCAATCCCGCCGCCTTTGCTTTGTTCAGACCTATCGAGTTGGAGGCGCTTGTCATGGGAGAAAAACACTTCGATTGGAAAGCTCTTGAACAGGTAATATGGACCAACCAAATTAGATGATAGGCCAGTTCGTAGTTTTTTAATAGCACAAAGTGTCAATGGCCACAAATGTCAACGGATCTTTTAAACACGGAAGTGTACCACTATGCATTTAAATATACATGTACACTATTGGTCATGAAGGTGGAATAATTTTTTTACCCCAATTTATGGAATGATAATGACAAGGATTTATTCCTAATAGATCTATTTGTATACATTATCATATTGTATTGAATAAAAGTGTTTGTTTTGCGTGACTGCTAAAGCATGTGTATGCTACTTTGTTTATCATAACTGACAGTAATGAGGATTAATGCCTCACAAAAGGGCACTAATATAAAAAGAGCACAATGACACAGTTTAAGAACGATTCGTTCTCCGGTTATTGACTGAATATTAGAGCATAAATATTTGTCAAAAATGTTTATTGTGTTTGACACTGTATTTTGTATAGTAGTCAATGACAAACTTCCCAAAAATTACAAACCACATTGAAGATTTGCACATTCTTTTTTTCTTATGATATATAATTTAATTTTTTTCAGTCGACCCAGTATATACAGCCATATACAGACTCACACCCAACAATCAAGATGTTCTGGAAGGTACTTCACGCTCTAGACAATGACATGAAAAGAAAATTTCTCGGTAAGTCTAAAATGTTTGATTTACCTTTTGTTTATTCCATAATATAGATATTTTGACTACTATGAGAGGCATCGCTGTTTCGATAGGCTCAAGGGGACGTTACATCCTGATATGACCCTGAGGCGCGCCGGGGTTGGCGGCGCCCCGAGTGGTCATATCAGGATGTAACCTCTCCGAGAGCAGGTATAGAAACAGCTATGCTTCGAATATTAAAGCAGTCGATATATAACTTTTATATACCAAATTGACAAACAATTCTACAAAGAATTCTTACCTTATCGTGTTCTTGGCTAAAATCACGACTCCAATTTCGACCAGTTAGATGACTAGATTTATTCAACATACTAACGAGAGGTATAATTATATTTGATGTATATAACGACCGTTTTTGTTTCTAGAAGGAATTTTTAAAAAAAAGCACTAAGTGCATTCAAGTGCACCTTTTTATTATACACTTTTATTGTAATTTCCAAGTGTTTTCCTAATGAGTCTCGCTGTGCCCAATATAACCAACTTATGCACGTCCGCAGTATGGATTCGGTAAGATCATCAGATCTTTGTTATTAAGTCTTTTGGCTCTGTCTTTGACTGCAATGTTGATGTCGTGAGGTTTATCAGTATTTTTCATTTCATCTTTTTTATTATTATTATAATTATTATCATTATCATCACTACTATTATTTTCATTATAATAATAACTATTATTATTATGATTTATCTTGTTGCAGTTTTTGTCGCGGGGTCTGATCGCATCCCGGTCGGTGGACTACGAAACCTAGGTCTCCACATTGACCACCTCCATGTACCCATGGACGATTTCGTGGACGAGCAACCGTACGACACCGAAGACAGACTCACCCGACTGTTGCCAGTTGGCCATGGCTGCGATAACCATGGCTACCGCCGTACCTTGCGGCTGCCCATGTATACCAGCGTTGAACTCATGGAAGATCGTTTGACCGTCGCCCTGTCCTATTACGACTGCCCATTTCATATCGCTTAGGTCTACTGTATAGGATATTTCTTTGTCATGTGTTATTTGTGATTTTTTTTATATTATTTAGTTATTCATTTATATATTTCTTATTTAATTTAAAGCGCGCACGTATCCGAAACATTCGATCAAGGCGCGAAAAAAATGAAAATGCAATTTACACAAAACAGTTTATTGAAAATTGAGAAAAGTAGGAGACCACCTGAAGCCAGAGCTTGAACGTGATGGCGGCCTCAGAAAAGAAACCTTTATGGGCGACCAAACCTGTAACCCATAGTATAGTCAGAAATATAGTCATCATAACAGCCACATAATGAAGTACATCATTTTTTGGCTGGAAAATTAGAGCATTATGGAATAAGGGGCCCGCCTCTCCAGTGGTTTAAAGGTTATCTTTGTAATAGATTTCAGTTTGTGAACTATCATGGACATAGCTCATTGAAGCAAATAATATCGTGTGGTGTTCCTCAGGGTTCCGTGTTGGGACCTACACTGTTTTTGTTGTACTTAAACGATTCGTCAAACTCAACAAATTATTTTAATGTTAGACTTTTTGACGATGATTCTAACTTGTTTCATACGTTTCCACCAAGAGAGAATTTGATTGATATAGATATAGTTAATATGCATCTTGATAAGGTGACCAAATGGTGTAAGGTGAATAAACTTACAGTAAATCTCTTAAATACTAATTATTTGTTAATAAGAGGGAGTAGGCAATCAGTAGTAACCCAAGGGGTGCTAAAAATAGCAGAGACTGAAATAGCCCAGGTTGATGTTACATCATTTGTAGGAATTTATGTAGATCAACATTTGACGTGGAAACCTCATTTCCAAAGGGTTAATAAGTGTATTAGGAAAAGAGTTGGTGTTTTATATAGATTAAGACAGTTTGTGCCAAGGAGTGTTTAGTTGTTACTGTATAAGACATTAATCCAACCGCATATGACCTACGGAATTGAGGTTTGGGGGTAATTATGAAATGAACATGAAGTGTTTATTATAAAGCCAAAAGATGGCACTAAGATTTATAACGTTTAGTCCAATTAGGACTCATTCACAACCGATATTCCTGGTGCTAAATTATTGAATGTGTATCAACTCCATAAATTATCTATTTGTGTTTTTATGTATCAATTATTGAATGATAAATTGCCACAGTCTCTAATTCAGTATTGCTGTTTCATAGAGCACAACTATGAGACTAGACAAAGAGAAAGTAAGAAGTTAAATGTGCCTAAAGTAAAGACAACGCAAGGTAAATTTCCAATGTCATTCTTGAGGCACACGCTATTGGAATGATCTACCCCTATCTGTACGGGAGAAAGCATCAGTGTCTTGCTTTTGTAGAACTCTAATGTCAAAAAAATTAATAGAATAGGTGTTTTTAACTTTGAACCAAGGCTCTTGCCTCTTTGTAAATATTATGTTATATAATTCTTTATCTGTTATTTAGTGTAAAATACCAAAGCTTTGTATTTTAGCACAGAACATATTTACCCTAGATGTAGAATAGTTTGTAGCTTAAGTATGTAATCAACAGTTATTCATATTTATTCATTACATTATCATTTATTGATGTGATACTTTTGTAGAGGTACCAGACACGATTAACATTAAATGCTATTTTTTGGTCCCATTTATCCTTTCAATGTTAATCATTCACATGTTATTGTTATATTGATGTAATTTTTGTTTTGGATAATAAACTTCAAACTCAAACTCAAACCCATTCACACACTTAAAGGCTTTTCTTTTACAAAGTCTCGAACTTTATTGGGCTTGTTCTATTAAATATATAAAGGCAAAACGTAAATTTACCTGATTTGGCGCCACGTTATGTAACTGACCTCTTTTTTGTCATTTTATAATTTATATTCTCATCTACAGTATGCTTGGTTTTACAATTATGAAGATTACTTGGGTTTGCTCTTTTCAACTATCTGCAGTTGAATCGTATGGTGCTTAACCTGGTGCCACGCTGTGTAACAGACGACCATTTTCGTGGTGTGGCCGAATTTGGCTGTTTTGTTCAGTTATGATAACTGTCTCAACATCGTTTACTCAATAACATACACATTTAATAGGTGACTAGAATATAAACCTTTTTTTTTTTAAAAAATTGTATTAATTTAGATAAATTTGTCGATTTCATGTAGGCCTTCTTTTATGCTTTTTCCGTTTATATAAACCAACCTACCAGGATTGACACGCATTCCTCAACTTTGTTAAATAACGTTTATTACTGGTGGTCTACATTTTCCCAAAATATTTGACCACCAACAGATATTTGTAATATCTCAGTTCTGTTTAGTTTATCTTAACAAACTCGACAGTTTTTTTTACAAAATAGACACTCCTAATAAATTGAGTCATTTAAACAAGATTTATTATTAGAAGAACGTACAAATGTTTTAAATGAACATGATGTGAATACAATACTATCATTATACAAAGTTTCCTCTTGTTAGAGAGAAACGTAACTCTTACATCACAAGAAACCCATGGATTATAAAAGGTATTATGAAATCAATCAGAACAAAAAAAAAAAGGTTTTTACAAATTACATACATGCAAAATCCAACAGACTTAACCAGCACACATTACACACATATCGTAATGAATTGACTAGAAACATTCAATGTTCTTGGAAGTTGTATTACTCTGAACAATTAAGTATAGTTAGCTCCAATGTTGGATCAACGTGGTGTGTCATCAACGAGACAATGGGGAAGAAAACCGAACCTCTACCAAAAGATAATATGACGCTAAATGATAATGAGATATCCAATACAAATGAATATGCTACTTCGTTCAATACATTCTGTAGTAATATTGGCCCACAACTAGCAAACAAAAAAGATGATACTACAAATGTTGATCTTACCATTTTTCTTCCAGGTATTTTGGAAACATCTTTTTTCTTTAAGCCAACATATTTACCAGAAATAATCAATAAGACAAAATTACTAAACTCCAGTATTAAATCAGAAGGTCGTGATAGGATTCGCACCGCACTTCTTAAACAAATTATATACTTCATTGTATCCCCATTTATTTAGTTCGCATATTTAAATTTTAGATTTAAACAGGATTATGTCCATATCTCCTTAAAGTAGCGAAAGTAATTCCTATTTATAAGAAGGACAATCCACATGAAATAAGCAATTATCGCCCAATATCTATACTCCGTAGCAAATATCAAAACTTCTTGATTTTTTTTTTACAATAGGTTACATGATTTTCTTAATAAAAACGAATTGTTGAATCCAAACCTATAAGGGTTTTAGAAAAACCACTAGACAGATTTAGCTTACATACAAATATACGACAAAATTACCAGTGCAATGGCAAACAAGAAAAAAAAGTACATGTAATATGAATATGTTTGGATTTAAGTAGAGCGATTGATACGCTCAACCATGCTATATTACATTATGCTATATATACGAAAACTTCGAGGAATTCGAGGGCAAACTCTATCCTGGTTTAATGACTACTTGGCGAACAGACAGTGATATGTTTCATTTTATGGTACTGACTCAAGTCTTTTGCCGATTAGGTGTGGTGTCCCTCAAGGCTCCGTTTTTGGACCACTTCTTTTTTTTTGTATGTCAACAATGTAACGAACGCATCATCTGTTATGACACAAATATTTTTACTCACACAAGAACATCAAAATACTTATGATTCCCTTTAATGTTGAGTAACCAAAAGTTTCCACATGGTTTAAAAGGAATACGTTATCTCTTAATATAAACAAAACTCATTTAATACACCTCAACCAACCCAATGCATACAGAACTTCAGATATGAAAATTAGCTAATTGACAAAAGCGTAACTCTAGGTTTTAGGAGTGATTTTTAATGAATGTCTGACATGAATGACCATTTGAAATATATTAAAAGATCTATATTTATATCCTAAGGTGTAGGAAATATTTGTAAAATTAAACAATATTTTTACTCAAAATATTTTGTTTCTTTAATTGCATAATACAATGGTATTTCCATATTTTACGGTATTGTAATATGGTTTGGCAAGTTATACGAAGACAAAACTAGATCCTTTTCATATGGGGCATTAAAGGACGTTTTTTTAATTTGTACCGGATCATCCTTGCAAATTCAGAACCCTTATTTCAGAAGCTAAAACATTAACAGTTTCTTATATCAATTCTTTTCAGATAGCAATCTTTATGTTCAAATACTCTAATAACCTTATTTTCCCCGGCATTCAACAACCTGTTTGTTATAAACAACACAATCAATTATTATCAGACAGGAATCTGTCAGGAATTTCATTTGATAAGCCCCAAAATTGAACTCAACTAATTGCGCATAAATCTATCCGACACCATGACCCCGACCTATGAAATAGTCTCCCAATTACTGTTAAATCATGTACTACGACTTATTTTTTCAAGGCTGTCATGAAGCTTAAATTATTACCAGCATACAAGTCATATTTTAATAAGAGCCCCAAACCCATGCACTCGCACACACATTTTGCATATGTACATATACATTAATAACCTCATTAACAAAAAACATTTTACATAAGACATACATTTACATAATATACACACTTACACTTAACGCATTTCATGTCATGCCTGAAAAAAAGATTTACTTCATTTATATGCGGCTGTTTTAATTACTATATTTCTGATTATACTATGTGTTAAAGGTTTGGTCGCCCATATAGATTCCTTTCCTGGGGCCTCTATCACCTTCTAGATCTAGCTTAAAGGTAATACAAAGTTTTGATATGGGGTCACGAATTCGGTTTAAATTAATATATTGAAAGCATATGCGATCCTACAATATTTAGTGATCGTTGTCGCGGTTTAAATCGAGTTTAAAGTTATGAAATTGTAAATAATAAACTCTTTATGTTGTATAGCTCCCTCTCGAGGTAAAGATATTAATTAAGCTACAAAACAATGTTTCTTGACTATAATCAACCAATTAGCTATTCCAGTTTTGAAATTACATATCACAGTTACATATTCTGATATTGTCATGGCAGCAACTACCATTGTACGGCCGTAGGCGAAATTTGAAATTCATCAAAATTTACCGGAGCACCGGTAAATTTATATATTCAATTTATCTCGAAAACAGAAGTGTTTTAGGAGCTTAATTTGTTAGTGCTTATAATACATCTACAAAAGCATCCAAATTTATCCAAAATTGTAAAGAATCACTATCCACCCGACTTTCAAAATTTACCAAAACTTTGTATTGCCTTTAGGTCTTCTGCTTTATTCTATTTTCAATGACGTGTTTTGTGTAATCTGAATTTTTGTCGCGCTTTGATCGAAAGTTTTGGATACTGCGCGTTAAAAATTCATATTATTCTTATTTTCATTTTTTGCTATTTTAATGTTAATACATGTACATCATATAAATAATAATAATAATAACAACATTTATAATGCGCACATATCCACCCCAAGAGATGCTAAAGGCGCCTAACAAGGTAAGGACATTAAACTTAAGAGAATAAAAATAATTAAACATAATTAAATATATTTCAACAACGTTAATTACATCAGATTGTGAGGTATAATACGCTTCACTAGAAGAGGCTATGAAAATAACTTGAAGAAATAATAAATACATGAATTAAAGAATATAATAAATGAATGAATAATCAAATACGTATTTTTTGCATGAATAGGAAATATATAAATGAATGAGATGAAATATATATAAATGAATAGATACAAAAATTGAAAAATTCATGAATAGAATATGATAATAAAATATCCTATAAACCTAGGCGATATGAAATGGGCAGTCGTAATAGGACAGGGCGACGGCCAAACGATCTTCCATTAGATCGAGGCTGGTATACATAGGCAGCCGTAAGGTACGGCGGTAGCCATAGTTATCGCAAACATGGCCCACTGGCAATAGCCATGTGAGTCTGTCTCCGGTGTCGCACGGTTGCTCGTCCACGTAATCGTCCATGGGTACCTGGAGGTGGTCAATGTGGAGACCTAGGTTTCGTAGTCCACCGACCGGGACGCGATCAGACCCAGCGACAAATACTGCAACAAGATAAATCATAACAATTTATTATTTATTATAATTCTTATAATAATAATAATAATACTGATGATGACAATGGTAATAAAGATTGTATCAAAAATAATATTAATAATTAAATTAAAAAATAATATTAAAAATAATAATAATAATGATATTAATACTAATAATACAGATAATAATAATAATAATAATATTAATAATAATATTATTAATAATAATACTAATTATAATAATAATAAGAATAATAATAATAACAATACTAATAATAATAATAATAATAATAATAATAATAATAATAATAATAATAATAAGCAATTAATAACCGTTGGTGAAGGTGATGGGCCGAACTATCACTTCCGAGGCGATCTTGATGTAGCTATCTTTCCGAAGCGAAGCTGGGGAAAGATAGCGTATACATTCTGATCTCCGAGGAAGTGATAGTTTGCCATCGCCTGAAACAAAAAGGTGATTATTTGCATTACATTTCACATCTGAAACAATTTCTCTACATAAGGAAAAGGACGTGTGTTCGTGTACATAAAAGAAACCTAGGCCCAAATTCACACCAAAAAAGGTAAAGTTTAACCCAACCCCTTGTGAGTACGGTGTGCGCATTGGTTATTTTATTGCGCTTTTGGATAACATAGTATACTACTATCTTAAATGAAAGTGCGTTGCACTGCGTAGATAGTAGTACTATCTACACAGTGTAACGAAATTTTCTTCTCCCATCAATGATGGGCGAACTATCTTTCATCACGTGATTTACTTTTGACCAATCGTAGAGCAATATTCTTAGTATGTGGAATATCATAATTATAATATAATAAATAACCCTCATGACATAAACATTGCCGTCCAGGGGGTGTCTCACAAAGATCCTAAGTTGAACTTAAAACTCATGCAATGCCGTTATCATCTTTGTAAATATTTTGTCCAAATTAGAGATAAGTTTGACTTAAATTCTTTGTGAAACACCCCCCTAGATAGAGAAAAAAAGCTAAATAACAAAGATAATTATGTTGGAACGTCAAAGGAGAGATGAGTCCAATAGTCTAAACCATCTGACACACAGGCATGGTGAAGAAGGGCATTGAAGGTCTCATCGCCAAGATCTTCCCGAATCCATACTCTACGACTCTACGACTTGCATAAGATAGCTTTATTGAGCACAACGAGACTCATTGGGAAAACTCTTGGACAGTAGAACAAAAGAGTATATTCGCGCTTGATAGCACTTAGTGCTATTTGTTAAAGCGCAGTCCTTCAAGAAAAAAATAACGAACTTGATCCTGTTTTGAGGAATGATTATGATGATGATAATAATAATGATAATAATATCAGTAAATGAATAATCAGTATTGATACTGTTCTCCATGAGGGCCCTGCAATCATATCATTACCCCTGTTTAGCATCGCTTTACCGCGCACGAGCATTCAAGGAATTCGTTCCTACCGGGTACCCATTTACTACACCTGGGTGGATCACAGTTCAGCGACATATCCAATAGACTCACCTCTACAGATAATAATAATAATAATATAACCATGTGATGATGATCATCATCATAACATGATGGTGATGGTATATACTAAAAATAAATAATCACTGTTAATCAATTTTAATTTTGCTCTTCCCGCGGTCCATGTAATAACTGATACCCCCATCAATGCCATGTACCAGTTTGCCCGTGAAGTAACGCGCAGGTATGGGCAAGCAACTGTTCCAAGGATGCAAGCACAGGAACTGAAATCTAAGCTACAGGAAACCCAAGGAAGGCCGATGGAACAGAGGGACCATGAAACCAAAGATGCTCTCGAACTTCAGTCTCGTGAACCTTCTGACTGGCTAGTTGCTACTAGGTCAATGAGACATAGGTGTTTAGTCTCGTAAAACATTCCTGCCGATGGGCCAATTTCTGTATTTGTCTTGGAATGCCATCGTATTCGTGCAAGTGATAACTAAACTGTTATGAATTCATCAGTGGAATTATGGGCAACATTGCTGTATACTTGTAAAGGCTGATTTTTCTATTCAGAGAGGTCAAAGATTTTATCCTTGCTCGGTGCTTACATTTTAGCTTGCACAAGGACTGGTGCTTCCCCACATTTTGCCCTCTCGACCCGGGATTGTGGGGACCTAGCGATGCCTGGGGTGCTCATGATATGGCAGAAAGAGCAGTGTTAGCATATTGGCGTGGCTATACTGCAAAAATAAGACCAAGTTGTCATTTTTGTGATCTAGAATCTCGACAATGGCCATCTTAAACCTTTTTATTTAATGATCGTTATATATATTATTATGATATGGATGGCTTAGCAGAACAACAGTAGATAAACCGAACATTTTAGACTTACCGAGGAACTTTCTTTTCATGTCATCGTCCAGAGCATGAAAAACCATCCAGAAAATCTTGATAGTTGGATGCGAGTTTGTATATGGCTGTATATACTGAGTAGACTGATAATAAATCAAATTATAAATCATAAGAAAAAAAGAATGAGCGGATTTTCAATGTGGTTTTTACTTTTTTAAAGCATGTCATTTACTGCTACACAAATGCAGTTTCAAACACATTCAGCATTTTTTTTGACAAATTCTACTTCTCTAATATTCAGTCAATAACCAGAAACCCAAACGTTTTAACAATTAGATCGCTGGAATACTCATATACAGTGTCAGATCAAAGCATAATTTGGATTCGTTACCATACAAAACAGGGTCTAAAAATACCATGTATGTAGGCCCCTACCTTTACTTTCTGCATTGTTTTGCTTGAAAACTTCTACTTTTAAAAAATGTTCATGAGTTTTATAATCTTGATTAATGAAATGCTGTTCAGTGATTGGTCAACATAGCATTATATTACTAAACATAACATTGTCATGATGTTACCGCTATGAAGAATGTTCTCTGAAGTGATGTCATCCATTGTATTATACAAATAAACCAAGCTGTGAGTAAGAATGGTGGAAATTATTTATCTGAGGAGGGACTTGTATAGTACTATTTTTTCCAAGGGGCGAAGCCTCGAGGAAAAATAATAACTATTGCTAGTCCCTCCGAAGATATATAATTTCCACTATTCTTACGAACTAAATGCTTGGTATATTTGTTTTATATCACTTTACGATCCGAACGTTTGATTTACATGAATGGCTGGCAAATGTTTTTTAACTTTATCCTTATTGGGCGGGTATTGGAGAAGTTTAAATTTGTCCTGCGCACAATTATATTAACGCGCATTTAATGAGACCCGCTAATTTCGCCTTACTTTTGACTGAACATGATAAGATGTCACAATGCTTATCTACCTGAAAATCTCATAGAGCATGCGCAGTTCTGCCCATGTAAAAATAGTGGAAAATATTCGGAGCTCTGGCACAGATTTGTTTCAAATAGTAAAACTATATTTTATTACGTGACCCCCAATTGACCAATCATGTATTTAGAAAACTCATGAATATTCATAGAAGGGATATAAAGTGCAATATACCATGGATGACGTCATAGATATTCAATCGATTTATATTCCTCGGTTACAGAAATTATTATTTTTATTATTATTATTTTCATGAAGGTTGGTTTGAAAAATATAAAACAAATATATCATGCGCTATTTCAAGCCACTCGTGAAATTATGGATTTCTCGGCGACAGAAATAGCACTATTTTCTTCGGGGCTACGCCCTCAGAAAATAGTGCTATTCTTGCCACCTCGATCAACAATTTCAACTAGAGCCTCTCAGTGCATGGTATATTAGTTTAATAGGAATGTATAGAGTTATAATAACTACAAAAACACTTTTGTGTCAGAGTAAGGCTCGTTATTAGAGATGACGCGGCAAAATCGCAGCTGTTTAGCGCGCCGTATTTTGAAAAGTGTACTTATAAATATAATATGCATACATTTAAATCATGTTAAGAAGTATTGAGCTGTCAGTGGAATTACAGCTACCGTTTTAAAAGCCTTCGGCAAACAAATTAGAAAACAAATTTATGCTATTCACGAAGCGTCTACGTATTTGGAAGTGTTTTTTAAGATATTAGATAACATATATTCAATAAGATTCGAATGCACAGGGGTACATCTCCGTGTTTAAAAGATCTGTGGACATTTGCGGCCATTGGTACCTTGTGCTAACTGTGAACTGGTCTATCATCTATTTTTGGTTGGTCCGTATTACCTGCTCAAGAGCTTTCCAATCGAAGTGTTTCTCTCCAATGACAAGCGCCTCCAACTCGATAGGTCTGAACATATCAAAGGCGGCGGGATTGAAGACTCTGTTGAATCCTCGCTGGAAGGCTGCAAACTGTAACGGAACCAGGTACTCTCGAACCATGTTGTCCACGTAGAGATCACTTTAGCACAAATAAGTTGAAATAACAGTTAGAAGATGATGAGAAAATCAGAAAGCATTAGTAAAATGAGGATAGACAAAAGGGCATGCAAAAGAAGCATAAAGTCGGCTGTACATACTGTGGTAAGAAACTATGTATGGTAATTTTCTGGGAGTAATTGTCCTCGGGAGGGGGGGGGGGGGGATGGTTGTCCCATGGAGGGTAATTTTCTGGGGATCAGTTTTTCTGGGGGGGGGGGGGGTAATTGTCCTTGGGGGTAGTTTCCCGCTGGTAATTTGCAGAAGGGTGATCGCCCAGGGGGTAATCGTCCAAGAACCTTTGACAAATCTGCTATTTTAACTATATGCCCAGCTTTGGATCAAGCTGCCTTTAGACATTGTTGAGCCTGTTTTCCTTACACATTTTCTGTCGTGACCTCGACGCTCCTCCCATCTTCCAGTTTAACCTCATCACCATAACAACACCCCATCACTTCATCTTCTGTTCCAGTCCGCAATTTAGACATCTGATCTGCGAACTCCTTGTCGAGCTCTGCTGCTTCCTCCATATCACTGTTAGGGCTGATGATCAACGAGAAATCAAAATAAGCTTATTTTATTCGTCCATAGTAGTAGTGTCTTAAAGAGACAAGAATACATAAATACACAACTGCATCTATTTATGAAGATGACAAGAAAAACAAACAATACGAAACAAACAAATACAAAATGGGTTAAAGATGGAAATAAATAAAAAGCCACAAACAATCATGACAAAAATATATCTATATCCATGCTATAAATAATATCCCAGCGCTGCCACAAATTTGAGGGTTTCTGATTATAGACACTACATACGCTGCCCTACCGTAAGCCTCTATAAAGAAGGAACTCACGTTAGATGTCGAAGAAAATATTATAAAATCTATTTAAAAAACAGTGATACAAGTAAAGCTTACACACAATGATGTGATTAAATGCACTCACATGGGTAATCACGTTAAACGTTTTGTTTGCACTTGGCAGCTTTTTATCTCTCTCCAAAACACAAGGTGACATGATTTGGGCCAATGAAGCTGTATCTCATGAAGTACTAAAGGTTTAGCAAAGCATTTTTCTTTTCTTTTTTTTAACTTGATATCTTCCGATGTTACGATTAAAACAAAAATGAACTATTGATCATTCTGTGTTGTCACCGCAATGATTTTTATCCAGATTCTAAATATCTCTTGTTTTGATACCATGTGAGGAAACGACCTATAAGAGCTTCATCAAATCGATCGAGAACCTACATTGCCTCACACAGAGAAAGGGTGTTGTTAATGTTGGCGTTGTTGTTGTTGTTGGTGGTGGTGGTGGTGTTTTAAGAGCAACATACCCCTTTTCTAGAAGCTTGGCGTAGAGGAGTTGTGGAAACGGTAATGCAACTATTGCCTTGTTGTACAATGAAAGCCCAAACAGAAGACCACATATCTCGGCTAGTTCGGAGTCCTCACAGTCCTGTTTTACATAGATATTCAGGAAAGGTGGTTTGGTTTAGTTCATACAAATGAATGCTTCATGGACAGGCATATTTGTTTTAATATACAAAGCAAAGTGAGCTTCATTAACACATTGCTTTTTTCTGAAAAGAAATGAAGAAGCATAACTACAATACAAACGCACTATGAGTCCTCCAAAATACACCCAGCCAAATTCTTGAATGAACATAATAAAGAGACAAATACATATCGAATACATAAAGTTTGTGTCATGGGTAAAACAAAGCAATATCATGTCATCCCCAAAATTCAAACGAAACTTTATTTTCAACCAATCAGTAAATCATATTGGGATCTTCTTTTCAGTGGCATTATCTTGATACTTGTTATTCGAAATTCCCAAGATAACAATTAACTTATGCAATAACTTAAGAAATATTGTGTAACGAGAAATGAAGAAAACACATAGGCGAAGTATGTTTTGAACCTATTTTACCAGACAAAAGAGGTGAAACTTGGATTTCTTCTAAAACTAAAATGTGTATCAAAATACAACATGAACAAAGGCAAATATGGAAGTCAACCTCCGAATAATGTACACTCAAATTCGCCAATAAATTTTCTTTAAAATACGGAAGAAGATTCATGTACCTTCCGAAACCAAACAGACGAGTGAGTCGGGTCGAATTCTTTGACATATCGGAACAGATCGTTCTTTTTCGGATCGAGAAGTACCTCAAAGACAAGCCGGAAAAAATCCTGGTATTAATAAAAAAAGAAGACATACATATTATTGTTCGAGCAGTGTGGTATTTTTATAAAGATTAAGCTTTCGACTCTCATAAGAGATATCCCGGGTTCGTTTCTTGATTGGTGCAATACTTTGTCCTTCTAAATATTTATAAATATGTTCTCTCTCTCTCTCTCTCTCTCTATCTAGGTTAAAAACAGTGGCTAAAAATACAAGGCTACCAATAATCACTTACCATACTCAGAGCCCCCGCGTCAACACCCGTTTCATCCATGAAGTTGACCATTAGAGGTGTTTGAAGCTTAGACCTCGGGATGCTAAGCATCTTAGCTAACTGCTCCCGGACACTCCTCCCGAAGATATCCTCCCGGTTTACCTCAAGGTGAAGAGACACATGTCGAGGATCCTCCAAGACGTAACTCAATCCAAACAATGGATGTTGTTCCATGGCATTCTTGTAAGAAGCAATCATTGAACACAAATGAGAACTTTGAATTACAGGATATTAGGTAAAACTAACTGCAATAATCTCAACAATAATTCAATACACTAGTTTACAACATTACGTACATACTTCAATACGCTTTACAATATCATTATCATTACTCATGGCCACTGTATTTCATTCAGGCGTGTACTATCTCCACTCCTTAGGTAGTAGAGGTGTCGTGGACGAGTGGATATGTCACCGGACTGTGGAACACAAGGTTCGCGGTTCAAGTCCCACCGCGGCACTAATGTCCTTTGGCAAGACATTGATCTACATTTGCCACTCTCCACCCAGGTGTTAAATGGGTACCCCGGTAGGAAAGCTAATGTGGTTAGATTAGCAAGTGTGCGCTTGTAAAAAAAGACACCTGCCTGGAATGCTTCCCAGGGAGTGGAGAATGTGCATACATTGTGTGCGGGTAAACCTGAATCCTATGACCGGGGTAATAATAATATATATATATATATATATCTGTAAAGCGCTTTGAGAGGGCCTTCGGTCCTGAAAAGCGCTATATAAGAACTAGCTATTATTATTAGTTTTCCATACCATTTTCGCGATTCACGCACATTCATGTATGGCAATGGCTAAAGTAGTCATACTGGCTGTCGTCAACCCTCACAGGTACCCATTTTTTCCAGGGTAGAGACTGGTAATGGAGATTAATGTCTTGCCGAATGACGTCATGCCTCCGTAGGGAATCCAACTCCGAACCATAAGACAGGACCACGACGCCTCCGATCTTGTGATTTGATTATGACAAATTTAATAAGATGCTTGCGTAGAAAAAACAGATGTAATTGTATCTGATCGAACGGAATACATGAACCATTTAAACATGTAGACATTACAAAATTCAAAGGCTAAGAAAATTTGATAATTTGGAAAAATACAATTTGGAATATTTTAGGCCTACATGGACTTGTATACCTGTAATGTTTGACAGATTTGTTGACTGATCCTAACTTTTCAAAAAGAAATAAAACTGTACTTACAACTTGTTTACTTTTGTTATAGAATTGAAGCATCTTTGTTTTCATCTCTAGATTAAAGATGAATGGATACGACGTCCAGGAGAATTTCTGCAACAGCTACAACCGTCAAGAAAAAAGTACATGAGCGTTTTTCTTGTGCATAGTAACACGAGAGTGAACATAACAAATTTATGCTTACACGGTAAAAAGCTCAAAGTGTGGGAAGATTGGTTTTCAATGGGAACTTGGCAAACAATGAAAATACATTCATTAACATTTCAAATTCGATAACATAAGCTGCAGTTCGTTAAAACGAAAATAAAATGACAAATAAAGGCACTAATATTGAGACACTCTGTTAGTTTAATCATGAAAAACATTTTTCAATTTATAAAAAGACTACTTATTAATTTGAAAGTGTGTTACAAAATTGCATATGACATTTAGAAAATGGTAGCAACATATTTTACTATTTAAATGTTATAACTGCATAATTAGAACATGTATTATTTCACGACTGTTTGAAATTAGTTGTTTAGTTCATTAGAATCAGTAATTAATATAAAAAAAAGATTGTTAAAAGTATTGATTTTTTTATTTTGTTATGTATTTATAATTTGTAAACTGAATTGTATGAGTCTCCGGACTTTTTATTCAGTATGTTTTTATTTACAATAAACCAGAATTGAATTGAATTGAATTGAATCGTCATTTATATTTATTTACTGCTGCTATATTAATAAAATATTTAGATGAAATGCCAATAAGGTTTAATCAATAAATATAAATACACATAGAAATATAAATGTATCATGACCACTTCGAGATCTTTCTATTATCCTTGCTATCATATGAGAGTCTTCACTCTTGACAGTTCTATAGTGGTATCAACTGTAATTTACAAGGGTGCTTCGATGTGATACATGACGCTTTTTCATTTATTTCCAGAGGTTCTGTAATCCGAAAGTTCATTTATTTTCCCCTGTTCGATACTTACAACAATTCACCAATCCCCTCCACTAAAATGAACGGTCTGACCCGTATCACTTACTCGAGGTGGATGTTCCCAGACTTTTTCTAAATTTTGGATGTAGAACGTCTGAATGGAAAGGATGTCATGCTGGAGATTAATCTAATATAGAAAACATATAACAGATAAAGATTATGCATATATTCGTGCTGGATGAAATAAATATATCGATACATACGCAAGAGTATTGATAAGACATATAACAATACTACTCTGTATCAGGGGTTACGGAGCGAGTTCCAAATTAGGGGGGGGGGGGGGGGGGGAGGGGGAGGCATCGGGCACCAGCAAAAAAGGGCACCTACAAAGGGAAATCTCAATACGAAAATAAATATTTTTTTGTCATCGGTATATTGCTTAAATAATACAAAGTTTTGGTATGGGGTTATGAATATGGTTCAAATTAACATATTGTAAGCATATGCAATTTACAATATTCAATGATCGTTGTCGCGTTTGAAATCGAGACTAAAGTGATGACATTGTAAATATTAAACTCTTTATGTTGTAAAACACCCTCTGAAGACTGATATTACTTTAGCTTTAAAACAATGCCCCTCGGCAATCACCCCCTCCCCCTTAAAACTACCCCGGGAGAATCAACCCCGAGGACAATTACCCCCGAGGACATTTCCCCCGAGGATAATTACCCCCGAGGACAACTACCCCCGAGGAAAATTACCCCCCCCCCCCCCCCTCCGAGGAAAACTACCCCCGAGGACAATAACCGGTAATTGTCCTCGGGGGTAGTTGTCCTCGAGGGGTAATTCTCCGCGGGTAGTTTTCCTTGAGGTAGTTGTCCTGGGGGAGGGGGGGGGGTAGTTGTCTTCGCGGAATAATTCTCTGGGGGGTAATTTTCCGGGAGGTAATTGCCCTGGGCGGGGAGGGATAGTTTTCAGGGGGTAATTTTCCGGAGGGTGATTTCCCGAGGGGGTAGTTGTCCTAGAACACTGTAAAAATATGTTTCTTCACTACAATCGACCGATTTGCTATTCACGTTTGGAAATTATATTTCAGAAGTGCATATCCTGAGATTTTCATGGTCGCAGCTAGCATAAAATGGCCTCAGGCGCGATTTGAAATATTTGAAATTTACCGGGAGCGCCGGTAAATTTGTTGATTATTCAATTTCTCAAAACCACAAGTGTTTTAGGGGCTTAATTTTCTAGTGCTTTTCTATTACATCCACAAAGTTGTAAAGTATTACTATCTATCCAACAATTTCACAAAACTTTGCCTTACTTTTGAGTATCATACTTTGCAGTTGGGTGTGATGGTCTGAATACCCATTTGCAAGCGAGGAAAAAAGTTAAGATTCGTGAGGTCGCAGTTCGAAAAATCACATCTTTTAAAAAAGAACAAACCCAATCTTGATTGGGTTATAAGTACAGTCTCCTAACGGAAGAATGAAAAGACCTTTGATAAGTAGCATAATCATACCATAAATGCGAGCGAGCGTAGCGAGCTAGCTGTGGGGGAAATCGATCTGTATCGCTTTAAACTAGGGTCACGTTAAACGATGAGAGGAAAAGGTGCGCTTCATATGGAAAGGGATAAGACTCTTATTTGAAAAGAAGGAAGCACGTGTCGTGTACTTAACGAGCTTTTTTTTTAATAGGGGTAGTTATTAAAAGGGAAATGCGCACTTATTAGAAAGAAAACGGCACTAGTTGTCAAAGTAAAAGGGGCATCTCTCAGATTTTATTAGGGCAATTATCAGAGGCGAAGGGGGCATTTATCGGAAGTAAAAAAGGCACTTCTCGTACCTGAAAAGGGGTACTTAAAGATAACGGACAATGGACACTTATTGCAAAGGAAAATGGGAACTTGTGGAAGGAAAAAGGGCACGAGTTTAAAAATCGCGAATCCATTACTTCTTTCTTTCAAGATCGGACCTTGTCTGAGGAATATGAGGAGAGGGTGATGGGAGTATTTAGACCCCAGCCTTACCACCTGTGAGATCTTAATTTCCAAAAGCAAATTAGAGTAGGATTAAACTTGTATGTCACGCCAAATATGTGAGTGTGTCTGTGTCCGTGTGGGTGTTGGGTGTATGAATTGGTGGGTCTGGATGTGTTCAGAGATGGATGTGTGTTGGCGTGGACCTGTATGCAAGTGTTTATAATTGTTTGTATCCCAGTGCTTTATTTTGATTCTTTAATTTTGCTTGATTTTTATTTCATTTTTTGCTGCGTACATCAGCCAAACGACCTTTAAGAGTACCAACTCTGTATGCGTGCCTGCAAGCGAGGTTAGGACCTTCCGATAATTATACTAACAGTGACCCAACATTTGCTCCTTCGATAATTGTTCAGGGTTTTATCTCGTAAGAGGTAAAGGGTTGGGTTTAGGGCTGCATATCGGCGTTATAGAGGGTTTATGATTAGCATTGCTGTTAGATATAGTGTAGGGTCGAGGGTTGAAGTTCGGAATTCGGTTAGTGTAGGAAATTAACTCATAGCAATTGTCGCAGGAGCAAGTTTCGTACCACTGTAAAAACCCATATAACTGGTTCAAATAGTAGTAACTTTCTCACCTCATTCAAGTAGCTGAGAACTGTCAGGTTGCTCCGAAAGTTGTCCAGTTCCTTCTCCAGTAGTCCTCGGTGTTTGAATAGGGTTGTGAGGGACAGTCGGTAAGCCGTAACTGTACGCTGAAATGACATCGGTTCGAACTTCCACCAACGAGCTACAAAGTGGCAAATGGACATAGAATACAGATTAAATATGTTGCATTGCTTTGTATTTGCTAAACATCCCATGCACAAAATGTCTTCAATGGTAATTATCAATCAGAAACAACTTCGAAAAACCCTACTTGGACAACAACGAATACCTCAAAGTGGACATAGTGCTATTTATCATTAGGGGCAGTACGTACGAAAAGCAAATATGAAACTCTATCGAGTTCAATTTGTAAAATCTTGCTTTTGATATTCATATTTTACATGTTTTTTGCAAGTTCGAACGAATTTGATAAATGATTAATCATTTATGAATTTTTAAGATAATAAGCCCATAGCATTAAGAAAATTAAATAAATTTACAAAAGCTTGACTTTGCATTCTTTTCCCCGATATCGTTTGCTCGGTTTTCTCGAAGTTGTTTCTGACTGTTTACCAGGTGTTGCTGAATTGGCCTTGTTTTCTCCGGCCTTCGATGCAGAGTAAAGGAGCCCCATCAACCTGTCTGCAGCGGCAAGGGCACGGCGCCCCCAGGGGCGGTGAGGGTTACTGAAGACAGGACATTCCATCAAAACAAAGATGAACCGAAGAGCTTCGACGTGGAGTATTGACTGAGGTACGATGTTACACAGATCAACAGAGATCACATCGGAGAGCTGTGGAAATGAAATTATTTGTAGAATTTAATTACTGGTAAAGATATGGCATAATTGTGTCCAAAAGATGACATAACTGATGTTTTGAAATTTGTAGCATGGCGTATAGTAACGTTGTATTGTAATTGTTAATTTGTTGTTACCTTTGGTAGCGTTTTCAAAAGTTCCATTTGATCTTTACAGCAAATTAAAACATTTTTTCCGGACAAGAAAATCAAATAATTAAAAGTAATTAACACAAAACAAAAGTTTTAGGAATCGTGGTGTTTCATTTACTTCCTCTGTTGAGTTTACCCAAAACAGTTTATCCGTATCTCTTCCTAGGAAACGTGTGTTTTCTTGATAAATACATATTTTTTCGTTCGATAAATAAATTCTGTTCTCATCAAAAATAGAGAAAAATGGAAAATATGATTAGCTTGTAGTTCGATAACAATTTATATGGTTACAAATTATATAAATATAATGATGAATTATTAGGTAAAGTGTAAAAATATCATCAGGTTTACCTTTTTTAGGAGTTTTTCGTTCTTGCTTATCACTTCGTAAGCCCTTCTTGCTGCTTTTAGATCAACATTAAGACCATTGACTTCGTTTGGTCTGAATATATAGAGTAGAAATATTAAAATGCGAAGTCAAATATTTTCAAGAAATCAATTTAACAGAGATTTCAATACCGTTTATTGTCGCCTATATAGAAATAATGTTCGGATTGTCGCCCATTATACGAGGTAGGGCAAAATTTTTAGGCTAGTGATTTTGCTTTTGGTTGATTTAAAAAAATTAAGTTCGAGCGTAGTAAATTAAAGATACAAATCCATTCGGAACATGTATAATCAAAAGGTAAGCTACGCTGTGGCGGTTGGGAGGGAACCCAATCCACCCATCATAAAGCAATACTGATAAATAAAGATACTAAAACGAGATGTGTGCCTGTGAAATGATGTTACTTCTAAAATATCATCATTACCCTGTTTGGCGAAAGGATGCATTTAGGCAAGCAGGAGATGAGAACACCATGCTTGCATATTGGAATAAGGCGTCCTCTTCAGTGATGTCTCCTCCCACGTCACTTAAACTCTGCAGCAGTTCGGCAGATAGTGTATCGATCTCCTTTCCAGGGTTAATTGTAATTTGAACATCTTTCCTCTGTGGTTTAGAGAAAAGAAGAAGCTTGGAATGAATACCCGCTCATATTCAAAATGGTATAACAACTAAAAAGACATCATGACCAGCAAATTAGATTATTATTGAATAATTCATGTCAGGTAAAATGTATTATCTTTGGACAAAATGTAATTTTAAACAACTAGCCCAAAATGTATTATTGAAATTATGAAATAATATTTTTCTATTTGAGAAAAAAAAATCAATTCGTAAATCATATTTAGGACGCCTTAAACATGACCAAATAATTTCAAGGTTGTCTTCCTCCTTTTTGGGTTGTCAGGAAACAGGAGCTACAACAACAACAACAAAAGCCACCACATACAACTTGAAGTACACATACCATCGGTTCGTCCTGCTCTATGATAAAGATTTTTTCCTGTCCAGCGCACAGTCGGCGCCAGGTTCTTGGTGGCCTTTGATTGTTCTCCTGACCAACATCAGCTTCGCCAGATACATCTTCCAACGTTTCTCTCGCAGGGCAGGCATGGTCGTTGGTGACCGAAATTGCATCCAATGTAGCAGAAAGATCAGTGATGCCGTCCTCAAAAGGAACCGGGTGTTCAATATGTAATGCGGGCTCATTCATCACAGAAACACCCTCTTCAGCAGTATCTGCGGTGCCTAGGGTCAAATAAACCGCAGGATGTGTTGCAGCATCAGATGAAAGTATCACAATCCTCTCTTCTGAGCAAGTGTTGGACTTAGAGATATTACTTCCCGACTGTCGGGAGTGAAGTTCAGTTGCTGTTCTATCCATGTCCGTAGTTGCTCCCTCGTTGTCCTTTGTTGATTGTCTGTATTCGTCGAAAGACTTACTATGGGGCTCAGGTGACGTTTCAACTGAATATGTATGGTTCCTTGACATGTCCTCTTGCTCATCAATGTGCGAACATCTAACTCCCGGATCATCATGAAAAGCATCACAGGAAATACTGATATAATCCTCATCGCAAGTCACAAAGGAATCATCATCACTGTATGCGTCATCAATGCTGCTACTGCAGTCGAAAAAATCTTCATTGCAGTCTTCATAAAATCCACCAAATCCTCGATCGTTTATGGAATCATGCTCTGTGGTGTCTTGAGCTTCATTCGTACAACCATCTGAATCACCATGGTTGCTGTCTGTGACTGTTCTCTCCTGCTGCTCTGTCTCTCTGACCATTGTATTGGTGTCAGCGACATCGTCTCTGTGGGTTCCTTCTCCGAACTTTTCGATACGTTCGTAGTCCTCTACAGGCCTTGATGGTTCCCAAACCTTTGGGTCAAAGGCGTAACGACCGGGTGGCCAATCAGTGGACGATTCAGGTTCAAACACGTCAATCATCGAACTTCCTTCAAGGGGTTCAAGCTGTAAACCTCCACCCTCTTGGACCTTATCGTGATCAAGAACGAAGATGCCGTGGGTGACATCATCAACTGCATATGTACATCGACTGCAGTTAACGGTAAGATATAGAAGTCGAAGGTGTGTTGCGATATATACTTTTTGTCTTCAGTGGTGGATTAACACAAGAGTATCATTGAACTATTTCATCTCCTTTATGTTGACTCATTTTTAGTATATTTTGAAATAGTTTGGAAACTGAGGGTCTTCCTCCAAGAAAAAATACCACAAGATTACTACGATAGAATCCTGTGAAATCTTTGGTAAGCACAGAGACAAGGTTAATTGTTTGCTTACTTTAGTCGTTTAGTCAGCCACCGATTTCAATCAATGGAAGTCTCTAATGGTAGCTATTGTGGACAATAATGCAGAATCATTATTACAGTGTTTCATCTACTAGTTTTAAAAGTATCAACAGATTAAGAGGCCACCGACAATCAGTTTGCCATACAAAACGGGACTTTTATGCTAATTTTGTGGGGAAAAAATAAATTAATCAATACTTTGAAAAGCTATAGAAGAATATAACAACAACTAAACAAACGAACAAATCAATAAATAATAACAACAAAATACATGAATGCATACCTGGTTGATTGCAGGAAAGAGAACGTGCGGAATCGTTTGGGTCGTCCAGCTCTCAGTTCAGACTCGCCCCATTCATCAGACTCACACGAGCGCCTGTCTACACCCATACCATATACCAACAGCTGGCCATTCTACGGAAAAGAAATCACGAGATCTAAAAAAAATATATAGTCCAAGAGGACTAATCGCAAAACAGTACTTTATATATGATCTAAGAATTGAGAGATCTTGAACCTCTTTTCGTAAAAAATTTACAAAATTACTCTTAAGTGAAAACCACGAATCATAACCTTGTAACTATATAGTTGTATATAGTAACCAGTCTCATTTTAATATTATACACAAATCTTATTTATAAGATTGGAAAGCCATCATGTATTTTTCAATTAACTTTATTGTAGGCGTTAGATAACTAGAGTCAGACTCGACTAGCACATGTGCTATTTTTGACTCGATCACCACCATCGATCACAAAGTTATTGTAAATAGTCATATATTTTTTCACTCTTGAAGCAAAGTTTACTTTATATTTGTCATAATGCACATGTATATCGCTGTAGAACATGTATTTTTTAAAAATAAATCATGTTATATTGACATTGTAATTGTACATTTATCTTTTGTTTTAATGTTTTCAATGGTGGTGAATAAATAAATTCAATTCAATTCAATATATATATTTATTGGAAGACCTGAAATATCCTCACTAAAACTATATCAGGCATTTGAATGGTCAACATCTACGGGGGGTAGAGGCTGAAAATGATATTACATGAATATCAAGCCTTGATAGCAAACTATTTTGGAGAAAAAAAGGGAAATATGTAAAGTAGACGGGTGGCATTATTGAATGAAATCGGACAAAACATAAGAAAGTTGTGAATATCCAAATGTTGAAATCAGTGTATGTATGGGCTTTTCACAACTCCAATTTGTTCTTACACTGAAAATGATTGCTTCATTGTCAAAATCATTCAATAAATTGGGGTAAAAAGAATTATTCCACCACTATGACCAACAGTGTACATTGAGTAAAGCCTTTAAGGGAGAGATATTTAGGAGAAAACTTCAATTTACGATATTTTTGTACACGTCGAACGGTAGAGTTATTCGCATCAACGTAAAAATTCAGTGCCAATTCAAGATTTAAAAATCTCATATTACTAACATTCATAACTTGTTGTTGTTAGTATTGGTCCGCTTTATTTTAAACCTTCACCATTCTGTTAGACCTATTTTGCTGCTTTCATACAATTGAACTTATAGCAAGAGTTGGATTGCCCTTTTTTCTTTAATTCCACATAAATTTATATCCATGCGTCTCATTGTATTTATCATGGGATATATATACTATAGGCTGCAAGATTAGTTAAATGTTTTTAGTGCAAGATTAATCTGTACTGGTTTTTAAAGAAAACGATTGTCATGGAGGTAATCAACAACAGAAAGTTTTAATTTTGAAAATCCATTGTGTTGCATATATCCGTCCTTCCATCGATTGGTGCCTATTGTTTTGTACAAAATTGCACGTGTGTAAATCGTGCAGAGAAACGAAAATCAACCAAAGTGTTTAATTCAGGCTGGCACGGAGTCGAAAATAACTATAGAATGAGCGCCAAAGTTTGCAAGAGTACATTCACTGGTCGTTCTACCTGCCTCGGGATCGCTACATCGGCATTTTATCTTGTTAAGCTTCGACAGGGACCTATTATTTCAAGCTCATATTTTGATAATGAAATATTAGCATGGAATGATCTCACTTTACGAAGTAAACAAGTGTAAAGTATATGAGCAGTAAGAAGGATTATCTTTCATCTGCGACTGGTTCCACTTATATGAGGAGTAAATCAAAGAGTAACCAAAAATAGGTAGTTTTTCAAGTAAGTTGTGATCATTTGTATAAATGTACAATAATCATGACACTGCTGAAAAAATGTATACCAACAAATATAAATCACTACATGGAAAGCCTATCCCATTTATATGATAATGATAATGATCATGATAATAGTAATAATAGTTCGCGTCCTTCCAGATACCAATTGAACAACTGGGTGGGGAGAAGCAATGCAGATTAAATGCCTTGCTTAAGTGTGTAAGTTAGTGTCATACCGGGGATCGAACCCGTTACCTTCGAATCTCCAGTCCATTATTTAAATTACTAATCTACTACACCTCTATGAATTAAACGTGTTCCTACCTGTTGAAGGAAGCTTGTATGGTGCATTCCGCACGAGACAGCCTTGACATTGCCTTGTGATAAGGAACCCAACTTGACCGGTAGCTTCACATCTAAAGAAGATGGTTTAAAGATAAGACAGTGTGACTTAGGTAAATGGAAAGACACACATTATACCTCTTGGTATCAAGGGTGTATCCAAAGGTGGGGGGGGGGGTGTGGAGGGGTGGAGGATGGGTTACGTCAAAACCCTAATCCCGTTAAAAATATATATTAATAATGCGATACTTAACCGTGTTCTTATCCACCATGCAATGTGGTATCCAATGCCTTTACGTATTACCCGGTTCTCGCTTCATGCTTTCCAAAAAATATTGACCGTTACAAATTATTTTTACCTTCTTTCTTTAATACCACTTTCTTGTTCCTCGTTTGTTTTTTGTCTTTTTCATGTTCGTGTGTTACTTGCTTGCTTGAAGCCGTGTCTTGAAGTAATTCGGAACAAAGATGTAATATTAGAAATCACTGTCGCTTACCATCTAACTGCTGTAATCCCAACTGCCCATGCGTGTTACTGCCCCACACAAAGATTGATCCGGTAGTGGAAAGAGCAACGGAGTGAGCGCCGCCAGCGGCAATGTGCTGCAATGGGATTCCCCAAAGACCTTCGATTTCAAAGGGTTTCGCTTGCTCCTTGGTCTTCACACCTAGCTGACCATGAAGATTGCAACCCCATGAAAACAGCCGCCGATCTAGCAAAGAGGCAGTAAAAACAGTTCCATCTTTATAACACACACACTACACTCGCACACTCATACACAAAGTGTTAAATTACACTTTATATCAAGAAAAGGACGAATAGTTTGACCAACAAAAAAAATTCAACGCAAAGCGTAACATCCCCTCGCCGGGTACAAATGGCCTATAATTGTTGTTGTTGCATATTTCATGCCTTTGACTTTTTACGTACATGCTTAACTAAATTATTTACGTTATTGAATGAAAACCACATTTTCAGTTCGCATATATATAATTAGGTATTTTTTTCATTAAAAAAAAAATGTAATGAGCTATGACCTTTGGTCTTGTGGTGGATATATAGACCGACGTTTATACGTACTCGTCCTCTGGACGAGTTTGGTAGAGTTTTGCTTTGCAATAGTTCTCGAAAAGGTTCAACATGCAATGTTCATCTTACCCACTTTGTGTGACTATGTCCAGGGGCGCAGCTAAAGGGGGGTGTGTGTGTGGGGGGGGGGGGAGGGGGGGGGCTGTCAGGATATTGTCGGTAGCATTGCGCTGCCGTCGGGAAAATGAGAAAAGGGGGAGGGAAACAAAAACGAGAGAAAAAAAGGGAAAGAAGGAAAAAAACGAAAAAAACGAAAATAAAGGAATATTGAAAAGAAAGAAAAGGGGAAAAGAAAAAAGAAGAAAAAAAAGAGAAAAGGGAAACAAAAGAGACGGGGGATGAAAGAGCGAAGAAAGAGGGGAGGTATGGGTAAGAGCCTGAGAGAGGAGGGATGGGAGTAAAACAAAAAGGGGATTCTTGGGTGGTGTCGTCTAATCGACGGAGGGAGTAAGAAAGATACGCATAGATATGCTGCTGTGCCAGGTCAGCTGTGTCGGTATTCTTGATCGATCCTCGTGTACTATATTAATGCAGAAGTTTGAAGTCGGTGAGATGTATAATGGCGGTTGGCCGGGAAAACTTATCGAACTTTCACCTTCCCGAAATATCAGCAAAAGAAATCAGAGGTTTAAATTTTCGGGGAAACTAAATTCAGACAAGGATTAAGCAAGAACGCGGTACAACGAATCGTGTATCGACTTTCGGTTTATTTGACACATATGTATATTGTACGTTATTCGATGTTTTCGCATTATTTGCGTGTCAGCGGTTTTCCGAAGTTGTGTCTGACTGGAAAAGAAAAACTGATTACCTCTAGTGAGTGCAAGTGAATGGTCGTCTCCACACGCAATCTGGATGACGTCATAGTTTGAGAGTTCTTCGATCAATCTGAAAGCATGCATGTTGTTGAAATAATTAAAGGTAGGATATTTTAACCGCCATCGCTACCACTACTGTAATGTATTTTAAATTGCGCCATCTTTCGGTGGAGCATACATAGAGCGATTTCCGGTTCCTGTCGTGTAGTTGTGAGACATGGCTGTCGATTCGGGACATTGTGAGCAGCAGATGGCTGTATACGTCAATATGAAGCAGAGCCATCTATACACAGAGTTTGGCCCGCCCGGTACGAGTTGGACACAGTATGGCGACTACTTGCTTTGTTGGGCAAGCACAGAACAAAAGAATATACACCATGATGTGACTCAGTGAAACCAAATTGGCAAAACTCTGCATATAGATGGCTCTGATCTGAAATACTGTTAGTAGAATACTCTGACCTGAAGACCAATCTAAATTTAAACTTTGAAAATTGGTTGAATAAACAAAAATATGAAATATTACTTGACACAGATTTATCTGTAGATATCTAATCATCAAAGTTTGTCTACTTTTAAATGAAATGTAATTGACAAAATGAAAACTTCTAAAACTTCAAATTAAAACTTAAAGTACAATCAATCAATAAGTTGCGAGAGATGTATAGGCTGCCAAACTTATTTCCTGATTTATAAGTGAAATTTACTACAATCTCACAAGGGTACGGAGAAATCTAAATATTATAAAGAAGGTCAAAATCTGCTCTATATTATGTACATTTTGTTTTGATCTAGTACTAGTCAAGTATTCTTTAAACTAACTGACACAACTAATAATTGTTATGGGAGCCTATTGTTCTGTGCAAACTTGCACGTATGGTAAATGGGCAACCATGCAGAGAGGGGAAGAAAGCAACTATAGTCGCGAACCCAGAGGTCTTTTACATGGGTTGCAAAGGTGTCCAATCCCCCTGCCCCCTCCCCGGTCAATCCTACATTGGCTTACATGATAGACCTATATGCCAGGATCTAATTTCAATCACTATTTGAAATAAAAATTTCAGTGTATACCCAAAAAACATCAAACATGAAAAAGAAAATGTGCTCCAATTTGTAACCCCCCCCCCCTGGTGGCAATTGCATACTATAAAAGGCACCTGTTACATAATATTAATTGACTGATATAACTGGACTCTACTGGGAAACTTGTTTAGCATAATAGGCTGATCAGCCTCAAGGAAAATTTATTTTTAGACAATTAGGAGTAAATACACAAAGAAGGCTTATGTATGATAATTTACACACACTCTCTCTCTCTCTCTCTCTCCCCCTCTCTCTTTCTCTCTCTCTACCCCCCCCCCCACCCACCCTCCGGCCATTGAATCCTGGATCCAGCACTGACCTTGGTTTGAAGTCTTGCGTTGTCTGGCTCCGGTTATGATGTTTCTTTTTCTTTTTCTTTTTCCGAATACCAAGCTGCCCGATATTGTTCTTACTCCAGCTGTAGACCAGACCATTAGCCGACAGGGCAAGGAAGCGATGTCGACCACAGCACACGCTCACGATGTCAACGTCGGGTTCATCCTCCTCTTCGGATGTCGGGAAGATCACCTCGACTGGTAGGAGAGAAAGTTGACAGAAGGAATATTCAAATGCAATTATATACAGATTTAAGGCAAATTCCCTCCAAGCAAAAAACAAAGAAAGAACAACGGGGCAAAGGGGATGGCTATCAAAACAAAAGGATAAAAGGATCGCGTTCAATGTACGAAAATTATGAAAAGCACAAGAGTCAGGACTTTCGTGACCCTCCCCACCCCCCCCCCCCCCCCCAATGCTCATGATATTTAATTCTCTGTACTAATTCAGAATTCTTCTTGCCTGGGAATAAAGAAAAAATCTACACCACTTTTAAACTTGAGCCTGATATTGGGCCTATGCCATTATTATATGTATTATTAATTGATTCACAAGTGAGAATAGAACAGAGAAATCATCGCTCTTGACTTGATTTTTTGAGTGACTTTGTGATCTTGTTGATGCAACAATCTGAGAGAAAAAAATAAAAAATAAACCTATTGCCTCCGTGAACCTTTTACTCTTTGCATTAAGCATTCAGTATTCATCAATTTCTCACCATAATTCTCCGGTTGGCTAACACCTGTCGGGTCACAAGTGTAGACACGCCCATTGAAGGTTGTCATGACAACACACTCAGGGTTACCGCAGGCATCTTTGATCGGATAGCCTTCTAAAGATGTCCTCTTGAGCATCATGATAGCATCACCATCATCCGAATGATCAGATGAAGCCATTGTCTTGTTTCTAGGAGAGCAAAGTGGTACTATAATGTTATTAAACATTATGTTCTTTATTTGATTTTAATACCCCGTCTATGGTTTACCTACACGTTATGTGTGTGCACAGGTTGGTTATTGTGACATGCGATTTGAAAGAGATATTCGACGTAGTTTACAAGCAAAATTGTGCTCTCTACCCTCCCCTCACCCCTCCCCCTCCCCCCGTCCCCCCCCCCAAAATGCTCATTACCCCTCCCATCTTATTGGCCGCTCAGTATTTCTCACTAATTGCCCCCTCTCCCCCCCCCCCCCCCGACATCGTCGCCGGCTGGTTCCGCCCCTGATGCAGGCAAACTAAACACCAGGGGATGCAGGCAAACTAAACACCAGGGGGTGTTTCACAAAGATTCCAAGTCAAACTTAACTCTAAGTTGGACTTAAAAATTATAGGGAGCCATTTGTAGCCTTAAGCCCCTTTCACACCGGATCTGCGTAGAGTTGCGTAGTGTTGCGTACCGACTACGCCGAAGTTAAGCTGCGTACTCATGAATAAATTGATGCTTCGGCGTAGTCCCTGCGTAGGTTTTGCGTAGGCTTGCGTATAGTTACGTACCCTGTGCGTAGGCACCGCGTACCTACGGCGTAGGCAATTGGCGTAGGGTTACGTACGCTTGCGTAGGCCTGGCGTAGGGTTACGTACACTTGCGTAGGCCTGGCGTAGGGTTGCCAAAAGTGGCATTTGGTACACGGTTTTGACCGTTATATGTTCAATTTTTTAGTAGGTATTAACAACTGCTGAGGCTATTTTGCAGTAATGTTAATTTTTTCAACATATTATTTCCAAAAAATGCAGACATTTTTGTGGATGTACTACATTTTTATACTCATTCACAAGGGTAATAAATGAACTTTCTGTTGATGTACATTGCAAGGTCACGTGATGTGATCCGATACCTCAAAACGCCAACAAAAGAGCGCTTATTTTGATTTGTGAATAAATGTGGACAGAAGTCTGATATTTGTTGACCATATCCCTTTTTTCCACTCATTTGTAAATATCATTCCATAACAGTTTCCTCAAAGTTTGAAGACGATAGCTGTTGTCCTTTGTCCGTAGCGTATATGTGTGTGACAATGTAATGATATAAATGTTAGTCATTTATTACTTCTGACATACACACTCACTCAATCTCACTAACAGAGTGAGACAAAATTATTTCTTTGCTCATTTCAATTAAACAAAATTATTTTACAAGCATACAAACAGGCCATAAACGTACACACAAGCAAACAAACCGACACAAATACATACAGATTTCCACAAAACGTAATAACATTTCGCAAGAGGCATCAGTTTGTGAGTCTTATCTCTGTTTATTATATCAACAGCCTGAGATGTCAACATCGCAAATTGAATAAACCATAACAAGCAAAACATGTCAGTCTGAAAATTCTTGTAGTAGTACACAGAATAACAAGCAAGAATACAAAATAAAGTCATAGAAACACTATTTCTTCATGAACAGAATAATATGTGAGAACGCACACATGTAAATAAAAATAGCATTTCCCTTCAAAATAATGATCAATACCTGCCAAGTTTACATCCAGGTATATACAACAAAATATCTTTATACGTTTTTAATGCTTCGTCGGACTGGCGTAGGGTAGCGTATTGTTGCGTAGGCTTGGCGTACAGTTGCGTAGGATTGGCGTACAGTTGCGTAGGCTTGGCGTACAGTTGCGTAGTTTCTGCGTAAAAAGTCTACGCCAAAGGTACGCGAACAAAATTAAACATGTTTAATTTTTTGCGTTCATCTCGCGTACCCATTTGCGTCCCTCCGCGTACAGTTGCGTAGGGTTGCGTACGATCGGCGTAGGGTTGCGTACAATCGGCGTAGTCGCTACGCAACTCTACGCAACTCTACGCAACTCTACGCAAGGCCCGGTGTGAAAGCCCTTTAAAACGAAATATATTCAAAGGCAAAAATTCAAGTTTTTTTTAGATCAAGAACATGAAATCTCCTTGATAATAGAAAATATGAATCATTTGAATCAACATTTTATGCCTTTTAAAATAACTTTTAAAAAACATTTTCAATGACGCTAACAGCTTTCCATAATTTTTAAGTCCAACTTAGAGTTAAGTTCAACTTAGGATCTTTGTGAAACACCCCCTGCTTCTAAACTATACTCTTTGCGAGAACTGTATCGTAGCAATGTGGGCAAGGTTACTCTCCTACACTCGGAGCCCCTAGTTAACGAGTGTTTTCCCATGAACCCGAACCTGCTTCGAAAACGGAGGGGAGTGCGCGGTTACATTCATTCATTCTATTGATTACACATAAGACGGCGATAGTTATCCACCCCCCCCCCCAACTCAGTGTTATTTAGAGTACGCGTATCATATGTTCCCGCCCTTTGAAAACACCCCCCCCCCCCCCCCCCCCATATTAAAGTCCGGTGTGTAAAGCCAATACGGGCCGATTTTGTGTGTGTTACGAGCCGGACTTTGTTGCGTGAAAAGTACCCCTTTACGGGACCTTTTGTGAACATGAATGCGGACCTCCGTTCCCCGAGTGGGGAATGAGGGGGGGGGGGGGGGGGGGGTCATTTTTGCATTCTTGTTTGTCTCCTCTGGACTCTGCAGACTCGAATCCACGCATTTGTCTGACAACAGTCATGTTAACCAGACGGCGATCTGATTGTAACGCACCAAGTTAAGATTGAGAACAAGGTCCGTGTATGCACTCTTGCTGGTGCCAGGTGAAAATGTTAGAGGTAAAAATGTGAGAGGTAAAAATGTCGGAAGTTAAAATGTCAGGTACACTGTACAAACAGAAATGTAGGGGTAAACATTGGTGCTGTCATAATATCTCATCACTTTATCACACATAATGTCGAGACGTTAGCTATTGGGTTAGTCTATTATATTTTATAAATGACTGTGTATTGTACTTCGTAAATGTCCTGAGGATAATACAATGTGGAAAATAAATTTGAAAATGTATATTTTGTAACCAGGTTTGCATATATTAGTTTCTTTCATTTTTCGATATTTTAAATTGGTTGATGTTTTAATATTTATTTGGTTTTGAGGAGGTAGGCCTAAGTACAAAGAATATTAAGATTGAATGAGATAAAACAGGTAATCAGTTATAGAGATCGCACAGAATTTCCACAAATTCAGTAATTAGACCCATCTTCATGTCAATCCCAGCAAAGACTGTTAAGACCAGAAAACATTATTACAAAGACATGGATGCTTTGTCCCCCTCATCAATACTTTATTACAAAAGTTTAACAAACAATAACAAAGCTTCGCTTGAAGAATGTCAGATAGTAGGCCTATAAGTGGTAAACATTGAAACATATCTACCCCAGGTATTTTGTCATGGGCTTTCGACCATAACACTGTGTAACTTTACATTAAAAAATCATGTATGTGATTAAGAACCGTGGGAGAAATACAGTTTAAGTCCCCCAATTTCAACTGTCTTTCAGCCAAATTCATGATGCATTTTGTTTAATGTGTATAGACCTGTACGAATATGTACCTGCTGGAAAGTGTCGTATACAGTGTATGCCAGCACACCTTTTATAAATTCTGCCCCAAATATCCTTCAAACAATATTGTCATGTATATAATCAGTATCATGATCCTATAAATGTGTACAGTAAAACTATATTAATGATAAGAATAAATATTTGTCAATTTCAGAGTTTGATCTCTCACAGCTAATAATTATAAAACGATGTAGCTTAAACAGAACCTCTGCAAAGCCGGGCTTATCTTGAATGTATTTGTGCGGTTAGCATTATATGGAACATGCATGGGCGGCTTTCTGCTTTGTAATTGTATCAACGAAAGTGAAATTGTTGGAAATATGCATTTGTAGGAAATTAAATTTTGTAGTAGTCATTGCCACGCTGTTAAAAATGTCCATCAATCTTCAGAAGGAACGTGAAGTGGGGGAAGGGGGAGGGGGGGGGGGCGGGCGGAGGACTCACAGCGTGATATCATATCCTTTTGTTGGGGGGGGGGCTGTGATGACTTTTCTTTTTATTTAATGATTACACCATCGAGCCACAACTCGGCCTATAATTCATGGCCAAACTACTCGACTTTAGACATTCTTTTTTCCAGAAGTTTGCTCAGTGTTGAGTATCACTTGCTTAGACAAAGGCATGTCATATGAGGGAGAGGCAGCCGGGTCACTATGCCCCCAAAGGAAGGATACACCCCCCCCCCCCCGTCTCCTCTCGGCAATAATCGTGCAAAAAATCACTTTTCCGGGCAGAAAGGTAAATAACAGTTAAAGGTGAAATTCAAAGAAAATCACAAATATGTCTACTAATGTATCACTAAAAACTGGTAAGCTAACAGATGGCCTTCGTACAAGTTTTAGGTCAACTACATATCGGGTGATTTATAAAAATACAAATACAACCACCTCCATAGCAGCTGGGATATACGAGAGATTCGCCGGAAAATAACAACATTTTAATGACGTCACTATATGGACCAATACTGCCCAAGCAGACGACATCACATAAAGAATGAACATAATTGCAAAGCTATTATTTGTCAAATTATAATGAGTTTAGTGTATAAAAATGTAATGGCATGTCAAACCATTCAAAAGGGGATATGACCCGATTCTCATAACTAATATCTTTGGCTTGTAAATACACAGGAAAGAGGTTAATTAACAATCAAAGAAACCAGACTTTCAAATTGAAAAAAACCCCGGAATGATATTAAGGACGGCATTTGTTCCCTCTTGAAAGCCGAACATACCGCGTCTTATTTTGTTTACAAGCGACAGATTCCTTTATTTTTTGTATCGCTGCATTTGTCATCAAAATAAAACCCTGTGCGGGGTTTAGAGTGAGGCAATGGAATATACATTTAGCCTGACGGTAGTGAAGTAAGAGAAAGAACTCAAGAGAAGATGAAAACACAGGCACTGAAAATGTGTGAGATGTCATTGAACATCGTCTGCTTGTGCAAATCAT